ACATCCTGTGCATATCTTCCCTACCGATTTGTTTTAAGGTTCATTTAACAACACAGTGCCAAGAATAAAAACTTGCTTGCTAGATAACACTTATCCATAATGCCCCCATCTCCATCTAAAGCTTTCGTAAACGGGCGTATTTTGTGACTATGGCACCCTTGTTTCTTATGGCAATATATGAAGCAGAAAATTAAAAATGGCTCCTCTATTATACATCTAGTAAAATTGGCATTTTCTTTATAAAAAAAGATACAAATGTACAATAAAAAAGCCATATATTTTTAATGAAAATATGTATTCGCACATAGTTGGAACCGCAGGCGTTAAGTTATATACATAAAGTATATATTTTATATATAGTAAATAAACGAGTGCTGGATAGTAGTTTTTTTCTTGATGATCAAGGGGGGATTATTTTATTATAATTTGACCATTATTGACAAAGCAAATGTGCCGAACGCCTGTGGTCGGAACCCAATGGTGCTGCTTCCGCCGAACCGTGGAACGATGCTGCTGGGTTGGTATTCATACCGTGTTTACCTGTATTAAGTACACGTATAAACGTGACATATCTAGTCTGTTTGTACTTAAAACTTTTTAATTTTACATTTACATATAGGAACTGAATTTAAGCAAAATATATCTTTAAAAATATTAAAGAATTTGATACATTGAACGATTTCATTGGACAACATATAATTAAACCACTTATGGATTAGTCGGGAATTATATAGTCAAACGTATTTCATGTCTATATTTGTAACATTTGTTTGAACCAATCAAAACCGCTTCACCTATTAAACTATTTACCTTTCTATAAATACCAAATATCGGGTATTTATGTGGTAAATTTTGCCATGTGAAAATTTAACCCGTTAGGTATTTAAAGTTTGTTTACTGATGTTTTGATTACGAAATGTTATTGAAAATTGCCGAATCATGCAAATTATGGCGAAATATTAAAGTATTACAGGTTTATCCTAGATATATGACCATTATAGAACATTCGAGTTTTTCTATTAATATTTTTTGTCCTTGTACATAGGTCACTTATTCACAGCTCTATTCACGAAATACACATTAACTATTAATCATGTGACTGAACCATATGGGGAATGTCAATTGCCAAATTCCTCTCTTTCTACAAATATTTCCTGATTTCAAAGTGGCATTTTGTTTATTCAAACTTTGTTTGTGCTTAAAATAACTGGAACAGATCTTAACGCCCAAATTTGAAAGTTGATGAATATATTCCTTAAATTGTCACGTAGAATATGATCCAGACAAAATAAATTCATTAAACCAACTACGTTTTGGGCTAGGTATATGTAGACTTAAATTTTTTTATCATTAGTGTCCCCTTATCTGTGTTTTAAGTCTATTCCTTTAGTGTTCGTTACGCTGCATACAAAAAATATTGCAAAAAGAAAAATACAGCGTAAAATGATATTAAGTGCGTTGACACTTCATTTGACATTTTTTACATCTACTTTCTGTTCCGTACTTTCTGTGACTGTATCTATGCTCAAAGTTTCAATTCTATTCCTTGCATTATTTTCTTTAATGATCCAGACAATGAAATTGAATAGAAATTGGAAAAGAGAGATAATTATAAATCGGACCTGGTAGTGTCACCGTTTTTCAGTTCTCTCTTCTCCTAGTCACCATATATCTATTTGGTTAACAAAGTTAATCTTTAATTAATGTTATAATGGTACCAGAAAGAGATGATTATAGTACAATTTTGGCGCTACACTTTCCCAAGACATCATGTATCAATACTTCAATATTACTAAAATACTAAACTCCAAGAGATCTTTTTAGTTATTATCTGCATAAGAAATACTCCTACATGTATTTACGCGGAGATAAAGTCATTAAAAAAGTAGTTTGTGCTTAAAATCGTTTTTGGCATTAATATGATATAAAAGGAGCGTTTATAACCTTTATCGCAACACACCACATATTGTGAAAAGAACGTAATGACACCACCCACGTTGTACTTTTAAACTGTTGTTAGGTCCGCGCCCCAATTTGTTTGAAATAATACACAGTAGGTATATGGGATCTTTGTCAAAATGATTCATATAAAATAAGATAGTTATAAAATAATGTGTTACCATACACTTTGTTATAAAATAATGTGTAACCAACAGCTTCTTCAATATATAATCATTTCCCATTTTAAACTTCTAGCGCTCTTTACTGTTTGGCTTCATAACTTTAGCTTTATTATTTACATTTTTTACATTAACCATGTTCTAATTCTGACCAGATATGTTAAATATACGAATATTGTATGGCCAAAATACAAGGTGTTATTGACTTATAATAAAATAAACAGATACAATGAAACACTAATATTTTTGTGTCCTCAAGTGAATTTGTTTGTAATTGCAGATCTGTGTCTCATCAGTAAGTATTAAAATGTTAATAGAATTCAGAATTCAGTAACAAACCACAAAACAATAGGTACTGAGTGATAGATACATGATCTGATTTTCCATATCTATATATAGCACATAATAAAGTATTCTAGATCGAAATATTACTTTTATTATATACACGTGTATGTTCATGATAAATCACGTTAGAACTATATTAACATTTTGTTTTCCAGAAATATTTTATTACAGTATCAAAACGGTACATATATATTATTTTTTTGGCAATATTTGAATTGCACTTACTTACGAAAAATGTTTTAGTGACATCATGTATATGCCAAATAGGTCATAATGATGTACAAAGTACATGTGTTGCTACATTGTAACGCTTATGAGACAATAAGAATTATATGAATATGTCAAACAATAATAAATTGATCTTTTTTATTGTAAAAATCAATGACATCTTACATTGCCACATCACGTGTTGGCACCTCAAATGAACGACAGAGGCATTTGTAATCGTATGCTTAAATGATGTTTAAAACAGTGATATAAAAGTATTTGAATTATTGAAGCTAAAAACTTAGTCAAACTATTATTTTATACTTTTAAACATACATGCTAAGTACAGTACTTTATGCATGACCTGAAATTAATTGGTATCTTTCAAAAAAATATAGTAACTTATGTGGGGGCTTTATTTTGAAGCATATGGTCTACACTCAATTACATATTGCCTGTTTTATATAATGTATCAATATGTATGATGTTATGTATTTTATAGGTATACTTTTACTGTCTGTGTAAACAACAACATTAATACTCTTAAAACTACACATATATATACTGACAACTTTATAAAACTCACCTTTAATGTAAAAGCTTTAAATATAAATTTAATACTTACATTGTTCCTGGCTCTGTAATATGGAGTCTAAATTTAATAAGAATCTTCTAAACTAGACATTAGTGTTATTGTTTAATGCTGGTAGTATTCATTTCTCAGTTAGATTCATAGAGCAAAGTCAAGGTTTCTCTGTAATTTCATCGAGTGGTATGAAAATTGCTATTTCATGAGTGGCGGTAGCCACGAGTGAAATAAAATAATTGTCGTACCTCAAAATGAAAATAAGTCCTGTATTTAAAAAAAATACTTGAATTTTCTGTTTATTATATACGTTTTGATTTTATTTGAAGGCTTTCCCTTCAACTTTGAGTATTGGTTGACTTTAGAAGAAGTTAGTCCATTGAAAATACAGAAAGAAATGTTTTACTGCAGTGAAAAGCAAATTGGACAGTGAAAATGAAAATACGCGTTTTATTTCATCAATATTTCCCAATATTTCATTAATAAGTATATAATAAATTTAACATTCAGCTTTTATCTAACGTTGATCTAGATATAATGATATTCTAAATTTTAGTTATACATAGACGACTTTTATCTGTGTGTATATAACCAACATTTATTTCTATTACTTAAAAACGAAACAAAACAAAACAAAAAAGAATGAAGTTCAGTTGGTGGATATTTGTCTGACGATAAAATGTCAGTTAATATTTTAGAGGGAAGAACATCTAAATAGTTCTAACCAAAACTTGTAACATAAATCAATGCTGGCAATAGGACTGTAAGATGTAATGTACATTTTGTATCGTAAATGTGCTTATTTTAAAGTTGAATACATATTTAAGATATTTCAATGTAATGATAATGTATATATTTTAGTGTTTAATCCATATGTAAACGATTTAAACCATATAATTTGTATAAGTCTTTTATAATTTTAATACAGAATGGCGCCTTGTATTATATTGTATATGTTTTATATATGTTTTGAATGTGATATTGTATTTATTAATGACACATAAATAAAATATAAAAAATAATTCTGGTATTTACTGATGTTCTTAATTAGGTGTTTAATTATTTTGTATTATTTGAATTTCGCCGTAAAAATGATTACACATAAAAAACAATGATTAAAATTATTCATATTGAACAAACTAATGTGATTGGTCGAGTAGAATTAATTGTATATTAATCATTTATCGTAAGCCCGTTATAGACTCATCCTCGTTACAACATTCAATAATATATTAAGATGGTATGACATTGTTTGTAACAATAATAGCGCATTTGTAAACTTATTGAAGAAAGGCATGTTTTAATATTACAGTACCTTCAACAACATAAGAGTTTATAGAAGCCGGAGAACAAATGCCAAGTATATTATTTAATGTTATAAAGAAAGTTTATTTGGTTTTTCTCAATCATCCAGATTTATTGGTTTTCAGTTCAAACCATATTTGATTGCTTCAAGTACAAGTACTTATATGTACAACGACGAAAATAAAATAAAATAGATAACATCTAGTTAACTCCATTTTTCTAAGGGTTATTGGTTGCAATACTTTAACTGTAGAACACGGAGAAATTATTTATCATACAACCTAACATTTTTAAGGCGTGTACTATGTGATTTTATACCAATACTTCCTTCTCATTAATTCCGAGATTGTTTTATTTTAAGAATTTTAGTATCGCTCTTGGGATGGTCAGATATTGTACTACAAATATATGTTATCTCGCAAATAAAAACAGCAATCGTTGTTTTATAAGTTTATTGTATAAAATGAGCTGATGATTTTAAACAAACAACAATTATCATCAGTAACAATATCTTGATGTATTAAAGATAAAAAACAAAACAAACTGGCTTCGGATTCGGAAATTAAATCATCACATTGTATATAAACCTCTAAATACATCTAACAATTATATAATCAAAATATTTGACGAACACATGATGGCACTAGGAAACAAGTTAGTGACAAATTCAACATCTATAATTTTAACAAAAAAACTTATGATATCAGATTTTGTTCATGGCAATAAATCATAGGAAAAAATATTTTTGTATTATTAAAGTCTTATTAACATAGTGTACTAACGCTAAGTATTTTTTTGGAAATAATGTGCAAGTTTTAAAATACTTTATTGCTGAAATGTCAGAAGTATTAAATAATAAACATGAATTAGATAGGGAAAGACACTTGTGTTAATTTTATTTAATGAATATGGACAAACTGAAAAATAATTGTTAAAATGAATATGATTAACATGTATCCACTGTATAAACAAAAGAGTAACACTTTATTATGGTTCGATCATTCCAATGAAAACATATGTTATAATTAAAAATGCATGAATGAAAACCATCTATTGTACGTTTGATATCACAATATATTGCCCTATAACAAAAATTATCCTATACAAATGGTGCAAAATAATAACATACTAAACAAGCTTAACAAAGACTATTACAAACATAAAAATATATGGAGTTATGGTTAAGCAAGTTGGCAATAATGACAAACTTTAAGAAATGTATAATATATATACTCAGAATGTAGATACATTGAAAATTAATAATGGTAGAAACCTATCAAATCGTTACATGTAAAAGTTAATTGAGCACTTTTCTGTGGATGATTAATATAAAACATTTGTATTTATAACAACTATGAGGTATTTAGAGTATCACTAACATATAATAAGTACACGACTAGGATTTATATAAATATATTCCAACTTCAGTTTTACTGTTTGTTGAATCAAAATTATAAGTATGAACATTTTTGTCTAAAATCCTTCCCTGATTGAGATAAATGTCAGATATTAAATAATTTCTTTTCCCTGAATCGGAACAGCAACTGTGAATGTAAAAGGACTTGCAGTCTTTTATGATACCGTTTAATCAGAGTCTGTTAAATCTTCTCCATATCCTGCCCCTGCAGCAGCAAGGATCAGGCAAATGTCTTCATGACCTCGAATACGTGCAAGGTCAAATGGCGTGCTCCCATCAAAGGTCCTTGCATTTATATTACAGGAACGATGCCTTAACAGGAATTTGACAATATTTAAATCACCAGTAAGGCAAGCATTGTGTAATATTGTCCGACCTGTTTTTCCTTCCTTGAGGTTAACGTCTATGTCTTTGTCCAGTAACATACTGACACTATCTAAATGTCCGTGTGATGCAGCTAAATGTAGGCAAGTTAATCCCTCATAGTTCTTTATGGATAAATCCTGTGGAATTGTTTGGTACGGTATATCATAAGAATTATGTTTGATTTCATGATATCTGACAGGCTCAAGAAGATTTTGCACATTTTTGTGTTGTCCTTGGCGACACGCAATGTGCAAAGCTGTATTACCGTCCTTATCGCGTTTATCTACTTCAGCACCGGCAACAATTAATCTTCTAGTGACTTCTGGCTGATCGGTTAATACGGAAAGGTGTAGAGGTGTTTGAAATAAGAAATTTGCAAAAGACAGCCAGGCGTTTGATGGTGCTTTACCAATAAACATCATGGCTAATGTCACCTCACGTAATATTATGGCTATATGTAAGAGATTATCACCATCTTCATCCCTTAAATATATTCTAGAAGCGTCAATATCTGTTGCTTCATTGGTTCCATGATTTCCTTCATCTTCGTTCATCCTTGTCATTTTGACAATCTGAAACAACACAACATATACTTAAGGAAGATACATTTGTGTACGGACTTTCTTATTAATATAAGGAAACTAGTAATTAAGGAGAAGTAACATGGAAACTGAACACTTTATATACTACTGGAGTTCCACTTTTTTAATTCGCTGGATGAATTGTGAATTCTGTCATAGTTAAGCTGTTTCGACAGGTTTTATAAATATTATCTTTTGCCTGTACTAATGACTTCTAAGTATTTCCCCTTTAGTTGATAACAGAAATTGGATTGTTCCTCCTTGCACTACCCATGTGCGCTATCTGTTTATGTTAGATGATCTGATTCTAACCTTGCTGGTGGGGATGGGGTGGGGGAGGTCTGAATTCTCTGAATGTCTCTCTCCCTTGTTTTTACTATACACACTTACCATAATGCAATTCACGGTATTAATTTAAAGAGTATTAAATTCACAACATTATATACATGCACATTACAAACAATATTTAGGATATAAACCTTTAATATACATAAATATCACGTGTTATTATTTCATTTTAGAAATGGATATTTAACTAATCTCTGAATATTTAACTAATCTCTTTAGGTTTTAGAAACACATGGCTTGAGTTTGACAAGTACGATTTTAGTTTAAACAGTATTTAATTCACAACATTTTAATTATACATGCATATTACAAACAATATTTAGGATATAAACAAATATCATGTGTTATTATTTCATATTACTTTTAAAAATGGATATGAAAACAAGACTATTGAAATACTTATATTAATTAATCTCCTTTGGTTTTGGAAAAAAATGGCTTGAATTTGATAAGTAATATAAAGTCGAAATGGCATATTGTTGTATTTAAAAGTTTTGCCCACATACAACACTAGGACTAGATTGCTGACGACGATTCCGGACTATCAACCCGTTACAACGTAAAATGTCGAGTGGCGACAATAAAGTCTTGCAGATATTTGAAAACCTTCTATGACCGCAAAGGTCATTGGACAAGGTAGAATGGATAAGAGTACCAAAAATAGGACAATAGAGAAGATAATTGCTGGTTATTTCGTTTTCGCAGCCTGTGAATTAAGCGTGGTGAACTGATAAAAGATTTTTTAAGAGGTCATAATTACGAAAGCTACATCCTAAGGTGTGTAATTTTTGTGATTGTCTATGGCCAGTGTGTATAAAAGACGGAGATTGGTATTACGTTTGCTATTGAAGTTGGTAAGAGTAGTGCTCGATTTTACGTCGTCGGAAATAATTATCGGTGGCAGAAATTAGTCTTTATGTTGAGAATTTTAGCATGGATGTTTTGTTTATTATTTGTATTTCGGAGTTAATTTGTTGTGAGATTGTATTTAATTTTATACAATGTTATCAGTTTATGTTTTTTTCCTACGTTTTGATAGAGTTTCCCATTTCAAATTATTATATAGTTTTTCTATATTGAATAGTTCGGTTGCACAAATCAGTTGTCACTTCAAATTGCTGATGACACTTGCATACTTATATTTAACTATTGATACACCAAACACTACAACATCTTCATTCAACACTGACTTACAAAATATCATACATTGCCAACAACATAGTAAATTGACTTCAATCCAAACAAAACAGACCCTCTGATATTCTCTCGTAGAAGAATTAAACCTTCTCATCCTGCTTTAAAAATGAACAACACAACAATTCAAAATAGCAAACAAAATAAAATATATTACTAAAAAGGCATATGGTACACCCATATATCAATGTACGTCTCGAAAACATGGAAATTTTACTTAATAGAAAATATTTGGAACTATATATTTTACTTTTATTAGACCGTTATTGGAATATAGTGACAAAGTATGGGACAATTGTACACAAACAGTTAAAAAAGTACCAAACTATCCAGATAGAAGCTGCAAGAATAGTCACTGGTGCAATATACGATTTTGCAAGCTTTATAACTTCTACTTTTTTTCCCAAGCTATTCTTTTTTAAGCAACCCCATGTAGAATATATATCTTAAGTTACATATTATACACACTTACATTCCAAAATAACACATGTGTTGCATTCATTTTTCTCTAGGTATTGTCAGGTTCTTGTTGCTATGGATTTCCTATGATGGATATAATGTCATGTTAAAATAAATTTTAACATTCATTTTCCATTTCTTTGAAAATCCAGAACATATGACGACTTTTAGCACACAGTGTTGACGAGGCGTGGTTCAGATCATAGGGAATCGGCACAGTGTTGGGATAGTATAAAAAAGTAATTCTAGAAAAAAATATATACTGTATATATATAATATATAGACAATTCTATATATTATATATGCAGTATATATATTTTCTAGAATTACTTTTCTATATATTATATATACAGTAAATATTTTTTTCTAGACTATCCCAACACTGTGCCGAGTTCCTTCGATTCAGATGTATCTAAAGCCGTCAGATGTACCCTGCCTTTTTTCTGTTATATCAAAAACATAAAAAATACTATAGTAGCTGACAAAAACTTCCACTTGACGTTTACTGTACAAATTTTTTTATACTAAATTCATGCTTATATATTTCATTTCACGCAAAAATGTTCATCCTATATTATCTTTTTTAAAATTTTTACATAATTTTACCATAAAGTGCGTTCATATCGACATATGACATAAAATGGCTTTTCAAAGCACATTGTTGTAAAAATTCAAAGTTTTCCGTCATTTCAGGGGGCTGACGCTCCTGTTACAAATGACTTACACGATAATTGATCGAATGAGTGAAACAGTAATTTATATATGAATAAAATATAGCTTAAAAAACAAAAAGGAAAAAGACCCCCCCCCCCCCCAAAAAAAATAAATAAATAAAAAGATAAAATAAAAAAAGAAATTAATTAAAAAAATTAGAACCGAAATTGATCACCATCGCAATGAAGCAGGAAACAGAATTTTATGTTATAATTTATACATATAGTTATCATACGAAACTACAACTTACCTTTTCTATAAATACCCTTCAATAATATATGCAAGGTAAGAAGTAATTCAGTTATATATATATTTAACGCTTAATGGACACGTGTATCTAAAAACCTATTTTTAGAAAACGGGAATTAAGCTTGATAAAAAGTTCTATCTATTATAAGGTCAAGCTGGAAAACCATAATCTTCATGGAATTTTAAAATATAAAATCCCCAATCTGTTTTGAACGATTATTAACAGGAAGTTTCATCATTTACTGTTACTGAACAGCAGAATGTGTTAAATGTTTTGCTTATTACACAAAATTTATTTTATAAATACTCTTTTGTTCAATTTTTGACAAGGAATGTAAGATCCCATAAAGATGTCCTTGCAACCGTAATGATTAAGGTAAGACATTCAAATTTTTTTGCAAGGGGGTTCCCTTAAATAAACAAATTTGAAAAAAAGACAAAAAAACGTTTTGTTTTTCCCTTTTACATACATTAAAATGGCAACAAAACTACAAAAATTTTTTTTAAAAAAAAACGAAACAAAGGCAATGAATTTTATTCTTTTTTAAATCCAAATATTTACGGGTGTTTTTAAAAAAGAGAATTATCAATCGCCCAAAAAATAACCCATAAATATTTTTTCGAAAAGTATTTTTACATGTTTACTGTTGTAACTTTATTATTAAATTTAAAACATATTTCAAATAATATCAATTATTGAAAGCTATTCATTGTGCAAGAATACGTTTTAGCTGACGTAGCAATGGTGGTAATTAGGAAGGAAACAAAACAATATACCATTACGGAAGTTATTTTCAATTCATGCTTAAAGTATTTCACATCTTATTTGTTTTTTCAAAACTTTTTTATTTAAAATAAATATAGTAAAATATTAATGTTTATAGGACCAATCAAAACTAAACTGGTTTACCACATTTTTCTATAAATAGCATATAATGGAGTTTAGAAACATGATACCCAAATAGTGTCATGTGGGTATTAAACCCGTTAGATATAATTAGTGTGTCATTGAAAAACATAGTTTAAATTACAAAATGTTATTCGTCAGAGCTAAATCAGAAAATATAGGGTATTTATCTAAGACACATGACCATGATGTAACAAATTGGCACTCATTCCATTTTTATCTCTCCATGCAACTCTTTACTCAAAGAGGCAACATATACCTTAGATCTAATTTTTACATCAACGTGCACAATTTTTTCGAGTAAATTAATAACTCAAGCCAATCTTGTTTCACTAAAACAAAAATAAGTAAATAAATGAAACGGTGCGTTTTTGTTGTATGAAGAGTATGGAAGAGTAAAAACAAAAAGGGAAAATACTCTCCAACCCGGCCAAAGAATCTCAGTATAGCATCACTGATGTTGTTCCGGCCTGAAATACTGCATGACCAAGTAAATATCACCATAGTTACAACATTTTAGATTTGATAGTGACGAGAAAAGTATTTCCCACTCAAAACCCATAATAAACACTTAAAATTGTCCAGTTCGAGTGTTGCCAAAATGAATATAGATTTGTTACAAATTGATAAATATGAGACATTTCCTTTATATTTTCCATATCAATTTGTTTTATTTTCTTAATGATGATCTGAAAGTAATTACTGACAGTGTCGTATATATTCCTTACTGCTAGTCTTGATCAACATTACTTTTTGTCCAATCACATTGCAGTATTTTTCTGCTAAATCTAACTTTGGTTTATGTTTATTAAAACATTTCTTTAATCAGTTGTCTAACCCGTCTAAATATAAGCAGTTTAGAAAAATGTTTTGTTTTTGGTTGCAAAATATTGTTGATCATTACATAGGTTAATGTTTTATAATACGCGGCACTCTTGACCAATTTATTTTTGATAATACCTATTAAACACTATACTAACCGTTACATCTTTTACTCTTAGTTTTGCTTTCAGTGACTTTGTTAACTTACTAATTAACACTTATAAGTTAGAATTTTGAGGACTCCCTGACCTTGAGTGGTTTTGTACTTTTAAGATGAATGGAGCGCCTACTACCGTTATCTCAGCGCACTACTTACATCAATTGTCAACGAACGCACTGACATCGCCCACGTTGTGCATTCATCCGCATGTTAGTTAATTTGAAACGGTTAATGAAAGCCTTTATAGATTATAAGATTGACATGGTAATGGTTATCCACACAATATTTATCCATTATAAGCTATTCCATCTCCTTCATTTAACAATTAAGTCTGACCACTCTTTATGCGGTTGGCTGCGTAAATATAACATCTTTAATACTACAACTTTACACAGTATTTCAGAATAAAATCACATGAAATTCATATTATGAAAAGAAAAAGTTTATAGGCAAATAAGGGATTATATAGAGACAATAAAATACTGAAGTGTGATTGTCTCTAACATACCATTGTATCTTAACATTTTACTATGGTGACCTCATTTATGTGTGACATATTTACAAACAATTAAACTAGTAATATGTAGTGTAAATTATTTTGTAGCGGATGATATCTCCGCAATGATAGTGACATAGAAACCAAACCAAAAGACATACATACTTTATTAACAATAAGTATCAATTCTTTATATATAGGACAAGTAAAGATGATTGGTCATCTAAGATGATTAATATACGTTACATTTATTACACCCTTTCTCGTCATATAACTGTTGATATTTAACAATGGTAAGAACTGGTACTGAAATTATTGTAATGAGAAAAGGAAATTAAAACGTGATATAACTCTTAGTAAGAACTACTAGAAAGCAACAAACACATGACAAATAAATTAGTAAATAAATTAATTTAAAATGACTTGGTCTATTGTGGAAGGTTTGTAAGACAAGAAATACTTATGTTGATAGTGTTTGGTATTAGATATAGCCATTAACCGCGGATGTTGTTGACCAGCGTGACATGATCCAATATTACATATACATGTATTTATGTAGCAGATAATAAAATGTTTGAGAACAAAATAACAGAATAATAAAATGTTAGAGAACAAAATATTATTATTTATCATATAAATATTCATACCATATCACTTAGAACTTTATCAACATTTTTATTTCAAAGCAAATTGTATTAGAATATCCAAATGGTAATTGCTTTTGTTTTTATCAATTTTTGAAATACTTACTATTCACTTTAAGTGCACGACTTTCTTATATCTATGTTTTCTAGGGTTATTCGTTGTTCAAATGCTTTAAATGTTGAATACTAAATAAAGATACGATTTGTGCTGTAGAGATGTTACAATTTACATAAATGTATGCAGATAGTACATATATTTGTTATTCAAAAGCAGCGCTTTCAAAACAACGAGGACCTATACTATATAGTATTGTAATGTATATGTATTTGTAAAACTTGACCAACAAAGAAAACTTATGGTTTGTGTTTATTTGTGTAATTATATCACATGATGCATAATGGCATCAGTAAACATCAATAAAGGCTTATTATTTAATGTGAAGTTAGTAACAACTTTTACGTTTATAATTTTAACAAATACTGAAGATTATGATTGTATTTAACTTGTTTTTTTTACTATGAAGTGAAAATAAATGTCATTATGTGGCAAAATCAATTATTCGAATGAAAAAATAACATAATTAAATACGCACCAAGGTTATTGTATACATATACATGTCACAGGCATAACAAGTTAATATTGATACAATTATATTTTAATACTAGTATGTTTATTTTGTCAAACGTAATACTAGTACATTTACATCTGAATATGTAACACAATATTACATTCCAACTTAACCATTACAGTTTCTTGAATCATAACTATACATAATAACATCTTATTATTGAAATAAATATAAGATAAAATATATAATATAAAACTATTTCCAAGAAGCAATTTGGTTTTATGATAAAACATATTGCACATTGTTTTGTTGACCATCAAAATAGATATTCTATTTACATATTCATAAGTTCATTTTTTTCAGTAATGGGTTGTGTTTAATCTTGCATCGCAACAGAAGAAGATACTGACTTATTTTAGATACTTAAGTATACATAAACTGTTGAAAGAAGTTATATTGGTGAGTTCAGATAGAAAGACAAAGGGAGATAAAACAACAACAACAACAACAACAACCAAAAAGAAACCAGAACAAATGACAAGTGATTTAATCTTTATCGATAATTGAAAATTAATTGTTAGTCGAAGCGTTCCAATTCGATCTTTCAATATAAATACGAGTATGTGATCTGCAAAGATACATTTTCTGTAAGTCAGTATACTATTTAATAGTACATGGCTGTACATTGATATACAGCTTATCGACAAAGCTCTTATGTGTTGATAAAGACGAAGTGAATTTGTCCACAAACACAAAGATGTGAAGGTATGATAGATAAAAGATTTTCGGCCAATGAGCAGAAGTTGTTCTTCGGAAGTGTGTGTAAAATCCGGTGGGTTCTTTTACCAGAGTAAGAATATTACGGTACATTTTGAATGAAAGGGGAGATATTCTAGTTAAATAGCGATACAGTTTTAGAGTTTAAGATTGTCAGAGGTTCCAGTTGTGGACGGCAAAAAGAAGTTAAAATATAGCGTGGTACGAGCTCTGGGAGGTCTAAAATAGTTTTGATGTCGTAAATTGTGTGATGTTTCATTCGTTGGAACTTAAAGGATTTCAGAATGATAAAGCGGACCCAGATTTTAGTCATTTTATAAAAAAGAACGAGTTTGTGTTTTGGTTTAATAATGAAATTCAAGGGATTCCCATCCTACATAGGACATGGGTTTGGCAATTGGCACATTTTGTTGTGCACAATCCTCTAAACAGCTGTCTCAACCAGAACTTTTTTCGATAGTTTCCTTCTCGTAGGCGGTACAGTTATCGAAGGTTACACCACCATATTCATATAGTGGACAACTTAAGAAAATATTTTTTTCCAGTAAGAGACGATCAAGCTTCGCATTACTGTGATACGTGTATATAATAAATGTGAATGCTCCGCCTGAGATAGGAAGAGGAAAATACGCCGAGATGGCTGTGATGTGTAATTTCCTTAAGAGCTTCCCTATTCATCTCTAGGTTTGGATAGGTTTAATTGCCAGTTTTGCGAGTCAAGGTAAGATATTCTGTTTTCTTCCACCCAGCTGGAGAGGGTACAGCGATCAGAGTTAAGAGTGGTAGTATAGTAAAAGTAGGATCATTGAAAATCAGCTATAGCTGCCAGCAAAGAGGCGAACATTGGCTTGTATATGAATAGCTTTCATTAATTTACGCAAGGTACTATTGCAATAATGTGTTTCTATGGTTGATAGTTATAATAGTTTTTACAACATTTTCTATGGTTTGTAGTACATGTATTTTTAACTTTTACAAAATTGAGCTTGATATTGATCATTTGACAATATATAACCAGCATGCCCGAAAAATTCAGAACGATTTTACAGAGGATATTGAATGAGTGTATGTTCAATACTGAATTTATTGCACGAGTTGAATAAATTATATAATGCGAGCCTCTGGCGAGCATAAATTTTATTTTATTCAACGAGTGCAATAAATTCAATTATGAACTTACACGAATTTAATATTCTATTTATCATATACCCAACATAAAGACCGTTTAATGTGAAATAAGAGTCATTTTTCATTGATGCGCCTATAGTATAACGCTAACATTTAGCGCGTCTTTACACTATGTTTGTATAACGCTAATGACGTCACGTCAAAATATATGCACGGCCGTGCAATACCATATTTATGGAGTCGCGAAATCGGAACGGGTGTGTGATAAAATGTTTTACGTTAGACAATTTAGAATGTAGTTATTTATATCTTCTACCAATTTTCATAATATTCGTAAAAGATTTACAGGAAAGGGTCCACAATAATGTTGTTAGAACGTTTTGCCCAATCCTTTTGTATGTACACTTGATGATTATGTTTGTAAAATTGTGAAATTGAATATTGTTTGTATAGTTACGCTGTACATATTACTAAACTAACCCAATAAAAAGTTAAAGTTAAGGAATTCACCAGTTTCAATTTAAATTCATCCGAAGTCCATCTGTACTCCATAATGAATAGTTAATCGCTTTCATTATTAGTCCTTTTTATTACCCCTCACTTATTTCGTAATGCTAATTTCCCATAGGCCTCTGGGAGTTATTTTTACTGTTAATGCAAGTGTACCACGTGACTAAGAATTTTGTACTGTTACATAGATAACAGTATTTTCTAAGAGGTCACGTGGTCTATTTCCTAAATAAAATGAAATAAAATGGCTGCCTTTTTTTCTCGATTCATTCTTATTTTCATTGTTAAACCCCGATAGGACATCAATTTCTCCTCTGGAGTCCCTATGACACTCATAAAATTTAGTTGTTTGCACCCTGCAAAAATATCTTTTTGCTGAATAGTCAAAAAGTGAACATCCGTTTTCAACGGAAGTAATTGCAATGTAAATAATTATGTGTCAAACTGGAACATGCAGACGATTTAAGCATGCAACAAAGGATTATTTAACAAATTTAATCAGTGAAACGTTACAGATATGGTGGACATAGGATATCATCGTTATTTTGTCAAAAACCATGCTAAGAATATTCTGGAAACAGAAGGATCAGATTTCACAGATCATAACCGTGTAAATGGGTTAGTGTTTTGTTTCCTAAATAAAACCTAGCTTATTGTATGTTTATGATTTGTAGATATCATCACTTGCTTAAAGAATAAAAGAAAAAGAAAACTTCTCAAGTAGGCCTACAGTAAAGTACACTTAAAACTTAAAAGGTAAGGACAGTTTAGTTATTGAACATTACTCTTGGTTTATTTTTGTTACAGTTAGATTTAGTTGACAACTTCAGATCATCTCAGTATTTTTGTTCGGGGTAATAAAATAAATGACACATGGGTTTGTGAGTAACAGTAAAAATATCATCCCTCGTAAAAATACTGTTACCCTCGGCTACTCCTCGGGTAACAGTATTGTCCTGATATTTTTACTGTTACCCACAAACCCATGTGTTATTTATATAATATTACCGCAACGCTATCAGTTACAGTTGTATAAATTAAGATAATCATTTGTAGCAGCAAGCAATTAAAATCAATGTTATATAGTTATATTGCACACCAGTATTTAAAGTATGAGCCCCCTAATTGGCACTATAAGAAACTATAACATTGACAAGATAGGTTAGTTATATACCTTAAGGAACACCTATATGCAAAATTTAAACAAACTTTACCGTATTGTTTACGAGTTATGGAGATTTTTCTTAACTACTAGAAGGGCGCTTTTTCAGAAATGTGAAACTCTAAATATTATTCTATTATATAATCATTATGAAGAAATGTTTTCCTTTTGAAAATTGTTAAGAAACAATTAATAGCATTCAGCTAACAAATGACATAAGCAAATTATTGTTTCTAGTTTTTAAAGTTTGCCTCAATTTTCTTAAAAGTATATTTGTTGAGCTTGTCAAATATAAAATACTTTAACCGTCTAGTTTTTATTTTATTAGACTTTGAAAATACTAGTACCAGGTACGATATTAATTATTTTGATAAAAATGGCATAATTTAGTCAATGAATATCGATACTAATTTTATAATAACAAAAACAACAACACTTTTTTATCAAGAGTGACCCGAGAGACACACAAACAATTTGCAAGGAAAATAAAAAAAAAGTAAAAAAAAGTTGCCTCTTCCGGGGCTTGAACCCGCGCCCCGTATTTTCAATGTTGTTAACAGTAGTTCTGGCCTATATTATTATGTAGGTCATATTTTAAAAATCTATTTATAAATTATTTATATTTAGAAACAAACAATCTTACTGGAATCCCGTAATCTATATTTAGCCATGGCTAAGTTGCATATGGATAGAAATATAAAATCCCCTATTCTTTTTTATGAGTAGATTAACAAATTGCACCACTTGTACCAAAATGTGCAAAATGTGTTGTTTAATTGTCTATATTTGATTTTAAATTAGATCTTTCAAAATTTTGGATATTGAAGCGATAACCTTATAACAGAATTAAGGTAAGACCTTACATACGTCATAAATCTAATCTTTTAAATATATCAACAAATATATGAAACTGTTCCAAAAAACATGTGTGTACTTTTTATACGCCCGTTTGAAAAACGGGACGTATCATGGGAACGCCCCTGGCGGGCGGGCGGTCGGGCGGGCGGGCGGTCGGCGTCCAATTTTGTCCGGAGCATATCTCCTACATGAATGGAGGGATTTTAATGAAACTGCATAGAAATGTTCACCACTATGAGGAGCAGTGTCGCGCACATGAACCAGGTCTCTAGGTCAAAGGTCAA